TCTTCACTTCAAATTTCTCATTATTACAACAATATCTGAGCGTTTTCAATCTATGGATTTTTTTTTTATTTTTTCGGTCAATTGCTGCTATTTAAAATAACTTGTTAATTTTTTGTAAAGGAATGGATATGACCTTCTAATTCATTTCAAATATTTTCAATAAGATTGAGATTAGGAACCAAAAACTTAATATTATTTTGTGAAATCCACTGTAAAAGTTGTATTTCTTGAGGTTATTACGTTCAAAATTCAATCCATTCGTTACTTTACTATAGACCAAAAAAGCATGATCCGAACTTTCGTTTTTCCGAGGAGATTAACTTTCCTAAATACTTATAAAAGAAGTCTGATTTTTCACAAAATATGTATCTCTTATATTCATTCTATCCAGATTTTCATAGGAAATAATGAAAACTGGATAGGAGCAAGCGTTATTTTTCACAAGAGAACTTATATTAACGTTCGGATTTTTGATTTATCTCGGCAATTAATAAATAAGAACAGAGGGGTGAGAAGAAACAAAAAGAAATTAGAAACTTACCTCTTGGAATTTCTGAAACTCGAGAAAATAATATAAATCAATTGCACAAGATTAGTATACGACGATAAGAAGACGAGAAAAAGGAAAACATTATTAAAGAATGAAGTCAAACACATTGTTCCTGTGTGAGAATATACCAGGAGAAGATTTATCAGAAACCTCGAATATTCACGCCTTCTGTTAAATAAACAAAAGATAGTGAGTGTGAATTGACTTCATTCATTTTCATTGAAACAAGTCATAAATTTTTTTTCCTAGGACAAAGTCGAAGCGATTAATTAGAGTTGATTAGAGTTGTTAATGGACCGGTGCGATTTTTGTGATATAGATCGAAAAACCATGCGGATGTGCGAAAATTTAAAAGATTTCAAAATTAATCACGTCTTAAATTTTTCGTAACGAATTTTCATTGACTTTATAAGGTTTTTCTGATATCATTAATTGAAAAGTAATAGAGCTTGTAATATAGAAAATAAGTTCCCGTGAAATATTTAATTCAGACTCAACAATTTGCCAAGTTAAAGTACTTTTGTGCGTGTGTTATAGGAGTACATTTTCTACTAAGCATTCTTAAATCAAGAGGTTTATTACAATGTATAAAGTCATCGCATAGTCAAGATGATTCATAACTTCTATTATGCAGCGAGAAGAATAATTAAAAATAAGTAGTATTTCATAATTTCCGTTCGTCTTAATTTTTATTAAATATATGATGATAAATTATTACTTCTCAGCACTTGTCATGCAAGTATAATTTATTAAATAATATTTTATCAAAACAAAAGGATATGACATATATCTACTATTCTAAAGCGTAAAAATTGTATTTTTTATTTCTTTTTTATTCACCAAAAATTAAATAAGAAAAAGAAAACGGAACAATTAATTTATAATTCATCTTTTAAATGAGAACTTGGTGTTGATGAAGAAAATCCATCAGAGTTTGTAACCTGAGAAGTTTTTTCGGTAGGAATTTGACTTTCGCTGCTCTTTTCGGTTATGCTAATGGATTCTGTTACGAAATTCTTTTGTAATTGTGAAATTCTTGAAGCAAAAGAAGTAACTTCGTTATCATAAGTTTCCCATTCTGGAACTTGACGTCTTGCACGATCAAGTTTTGGTTCTTTTGTCAATGGATTATTACACTAATTTTCGTTATTAAAAAATGTAAATGTATCAATATGAAGTTTTTTTTTTTCCCAGTATTCAAATCAAAAAAAATTTTGTTTTCGGAAACTTACCAAGTCTATGGTTCTTGCATTTACTAATGACTCATCGCTACACCATGTCTCACACCAAAGCCATTCAAGCGGTAATGAAAATATTGGCACATTATGTTGCATATTATTAGGTAAATCTTGATCTAAATTGGCTAACGAATTTGGGTCTAAACTTAGTGATTGATATTGTCCACGTAATTGATCTCCTGCTGCCATGCGACGGAATCGTTGTAAATCTATAACATAAAGTGCACTATTCATATAATAGATTTTAATTAGTTCACTTTAGGTTTTACAAGCACCTTTGCTTAACAATTATTATACCTGATATGATATGGTTTTCCTCTTAAATGATCCTTCCAATATCCTTGTTTCCAAAATCGAAATCCATCCATTTCTGGCCTATTATCGCAGAATGGTGTATACCCGTACGGTGCTCCTTCAAGATCCATGTCAACTAATTCTTTTAAATCCGCTCGTACAATTTGATCTGCGTCAACAAAAATAACTTTATCCAAATCAAGAGGGAAGAGTACATCTAGGAATAAAATCTTGTACCTAAAGATAATTCATAAAATGTTATTCTCTATTTTTCCACCAAAAATAAAGGGGGGCATTCGATAAAAGCTACTTAACCCCCAAATAGTTCTCTGTTTTTCCTTTTGAGCTCTTAACCAATGCGGCCACTTGTATGTAACTAGTTCATATTCAAAATCATATTCTTTGGCCATATGTGGAATAAAATTCTATATAAATAAACATGATAAATGGTTAACCAAGGCTTTTTTTATGGTTACACGGGTACCGTTATTTCACACTTACCTTGAAGGACGGTGATAAAAAGTTTTCGATAAACCAAAATTTAACGCGACTTTTTGTATGTCCCAAAACGCTTAGGATCATAATAGACAAGAATCTCTCATAAAGATGTCCAGATGCTACGGAAAATATATTAATTTCTGCTTTGTTCTGCCTAGAATCATCTTTATTAATTGAAAACCTATTGAAATAAATAAATATAAAAATCGAATT